TAAATATTTCAAAAACGGTGACACTTTTACCTGAAAATTTTTTGTTTATCAGGGAGCTCACCTCCCACCTACCTTCCCCTAAAGTTTGGCACGTTACTTCTGGGACTCCCTGTATATAAAAATGTTGTGTTCGTATGTCACGGTCATCAAAACCCGAGAACGGCTGAACCGATTTGAATAAATTTATTTATTATTCGGTATAATACCAGAACCCATGATATCGCAAAAATTTGGACGGTTGCCACCGATTTTAAAATTTTTAAACCCAATTATATTGATAAAATTAATGAATTATTACAATATGGGTATCAAGTTAAAGAGGTTTAAGAAAGATAACTGCTGGAAGTATTTTTGACGAGGGTTGCCACCTATTTGAAAATTTAAACTCAGTCAAATTGATAAAATAAATGAAATATTGCCATGTGGGTGTCAAACTAAAGAGTTTTAAGAAGGCTTACTGCCGAAAATCTGTTTGAGGAGGGTTGCCATCTGTTTGAAAATTTAACTAAATTACATTGATAAAATATTACAATATGGGCTGTCACCTTTTTTGGAAATTGTAACTCAGTTAAATTGATAAAGTAAATGAAATGTTGGCATGTGGGTGTCAAACTAAAGAGTTTTAAAAAGGCTTACAGTCTACCATGAACACTTCCAGAAATATGCAATATGAAAAGTTCGGTTTATATGGGAGGTGCCACGCCCCATTCTCCAACCATGCAAATTTTTCTCCATGAGTATGGAATTGGTCTTATATATGTATATATCACCATACCCAGTTCTAGTCCTCTACCACAAATATATGCAGTTTGAAAAATTCGGTTTGTATGGGAGGTGCCACGCCCCCTTTCTATATCGAAACTTTTTTTTAGCCTATAACCATCCTTGGAAAGTCTGCAGTAGATTCCGAAATTTCAAAAAAATCAGTACGGCCTTTTTCGAGCTTTGCGAACAGAAAAAAACGCCTTTCAAAATATATATTAGTATAGACTAGCCAATATCTGCTTGTTTTGCGGCTTAAAACACTGCTACCGATGAAAATCGATGGATAAATAAACAAGTTTGCAAGGGTTAAGTGAAAGTGCAATAATTTTTGTATGAAATACTAGCAGGAAATAATGTTACCCATACGCCATAACGTACATGACCGTATGACCATGTTAAAGTTTGAATTTTTTTCATTCGCAATGAAAACTTAAAATGAAAATAACTTGACTAAATGACCTTATCTAAAAAAACGGTATACAGATCCGTAACATACTACTTAAAATTAATTTTACGTCTCTCGGCGTTTTTTGTGTAATTTTAGCGTCGTTACAGTGTTATCATCAAATTTTAGCCATAGCAATGAAATTTGTTTATAAAACTCTTAGGAGGTAGGATCTCCAGTCCCACAGGGCTCGTAATTCAAGCGGACTCTATCCTCATTTGTAACGCAGGATACCAGTAAGAGTACTTCAAAGGCCCCAGAAGGCACGCCATTTTGGGTAGAATTAAGGGTACCATAATATACACAATTAACTCAGTGCATTTTTATAGATACGCAGGGATTAGTCCAAGAGAACAGCAGTGCCCAAGGCAGCAACATTTATGGGTGTCATCTGCCGCGAAGCGCGTTCGCGGTAGGATCTGGAAAATTTAACCGTTACCCTATAAACTGAACCGCTACAGTTTAAGCTATTCAGTTTTCTTAAAGTCCAATTAGTAATACTACTTAGGTATAAGTTATTTATTCAAGGCAGTTAGCAACCAAGAAATTTAACAAAGCTATTTCAATTCAACGGTAAACAATTTTTTTTATAAATGTTTCGATTACTTTTTAAATTACTTTGAGGAATGGAATTCGAAAAAATCAATAACATTTTCAATTCCTTTCAAAGGAATTGGAAAAAAAATCAATTACATTTTCAATTAGTTTCAAAGGAATTGGAAAAAAATTCAATTACATTTGCAATTCGTTTCAAAGGAATTGAAAAAAAAAATTTCATTACAAGCACGTAATTTATTCCAATTACAATATGAAATTCCTTGTAATGGAATTAAAGACAAAAACAATTCCATTTTAAATTAGTTCAAGGAATTGAAAAAGTAATCGATTCCTTTGCTGTGAACTGAAGGAATTGAATCCTCATTACAATTACTGAGGAATGTAATTGTAATTGTAATGTAATTGCTTTTACCCAGCTCTGCATACAATAAAAGTTTCCGGGCTGGGACGTGTCCCGTCGTGCCGGGCCGGGCCCCACTAAAATTCCTAACGAGCGGGCTCGTGCGTGTTTTTAAAAGTTGATTTTGCACTCGTGCCGGGCCGGGCCTGAAAATTTAGGCCCGTGCCCATCTCTAATTCATACTAACAAATACATACATATCTATGTACATGAGTATGTATAAACATTCTTCCAACTACAAATCGAATTTAATCCATTTCCAGGCTTATTATGACAGACCTCCAAATTCAGATGCCAATGCAGTCAGAGCGGCCGGAAAAATTTCGAACTTTGTTGAGGGAGGCATTCATTACGCACCACCCCAGCATGGCTATCGAGGGCCATTCAAAGGACCATATCAGTTGCAGCTGGAGCAGACACATCCACATCCATCAGCATCGTATCAGTTTAAACAACGGTATCCCCAGCAGCAATATTCTCAGCCTTCTAAGACACAAACCAGTCCCAATTATGCCGGGCCGTCGCAAGCGGCGGGCTTTGCTCCATTGCAGGGGCCGTTGCAGCAGCTGTCGCCTCCCCACCAAGGGCAGTACCAGAGCCGGGCACAAGAGGAGCAGCAGATTGAGCAGCACAGGCAGTATAAGCAAAATCAACAGCAACAACATCCTGAGCATCTTCATAAATATATACAACAACAACCATCATTTTTCACTCTGCAAAGACAACAACAGCCCCAACAGCAACAACAACTGCAGTATCAACAACCTTCAAGACAGCAAATTCATTACATAATTGCTATACCGTTATCATATGTGCGACAGTTGCAACATCAATTAACATCCCAACACGGATCGCCGCCTACGCCTCAGAAGCAACACCAGGCTCCCGTGCCGATGGCCTTGCAATCACTGCGTGCACCTCTAGCGCCGCTCATTGTATTGCAACCCGTTGGCGGTGGAAGTTCATTGAGCCGCGAACCCTACCGCCAGCAGCCGCCTGCTCATTACGCGCCGCAAGCGCCTGCGCCATCCAACACCGAAACGAGTTCACATATTCAGTCACCGCTAGCGTTGGCGCCACAACAGTTGCCTGTTCCGTTGAACTTGGTCTTGGCAGTGCGGCCACGGCAGGCAGTTTACCCTGCATCACAGTTACTCTATGTGCAACCGCAACTTTATCGCCAAACACCACAACAGCAGCTGCAACTGCCAGGCAAGCAGCACCAGCAGCTGTCACATTACGGTAATTAAAATGTATTGCAATTTAAGTGCACGCCTTGCTTGTTAGGAAGGAAACAACTGAAATTTGCATGTGATAGCGTAGTAGTAGAACAAATTAAGTTATCCCAACTCTGCACCCTGGGCTAAAATTTAGGAGCTTGACCAGTTTTGAGGAGAATTCACGTGCGAATTATACACGCATCGAGGCCACTAATCAAAAAAGTGGTTTTCAAAAAAATAATATGGCGAAAGGTATTTAAATAAAGGATTTTTTTAAAGAAAAAAATATCTTTATGAATGAGTTAGCATTTTGAGGGTTTTAGAAAAACCTGAAACACTGATTTTTAGGGTATAATATTTTTATACCCGAGCGCACTTGTGCACAAGGGTATTATAACTTTGTTCACATAGCGGTTGTTTGTAACAGGCAAAACGAATCGAGATAGATATAGACAAATGTATACATAAATGATCAGAATGAAAAGAGAAATCGATTAAGCGGTGACTGTCTGTCCGTCCGTCCGTCCGTCCGTCTGTGCACACGATATTTTTCATATTTATTTCATATTTATTTAAGAAATGAGGCTGTATCTATAAGACTTTAGAGTCTTTTATAATACATCAACAGTTTGTAAAATTCAATGTTTGTACAAAGTAAACTTAAAACTAACAATATATCAAATAGCAACAAAAGATATTAATATTTGTATTTTTAATTAAGATTAAAATTAAGACTTAATTTTTAAGGTCAGATATAATAAAAAGTCAGGCATATAAATATAAATACGAACATACAAAATTTGGTTTAGTAGTAGAAGTGACAGAGACAGAGAAATGATAACAATTTAATCGCAACCACATTCATTGTGCAGATTTAAAGTAATTATGCAATACCTTTCTGAAGCTACTCCGATTCATCGCTGCTTTTACGGATTCAGGAACTGAGTTCCAGAGCCTTACAGCATTAATGAAGAACAGCCTAGCTGAAGACAAGTAGGAATATTTGGGGACAATCAGACTTTGATTTCTATTAGACCTTGTTGATTTTAATTTTTCAAAAAGGTATTTTGGAGTTTTGAATTCTATAAGCTTATACATAAATATACAATTTCTAGCCGCTAAGTATTCAAAAAAGCTGCATCCTAGAATTTTGTTTTTCCACATAGAAACGTGGTCATATCTTTTGAGGCCGTAAACGTAACGTGTAACGTTATTAAACGCAACATCAATTTTGTGAAACGAAATAGAGTCAAACTTGCTATACACCAGCCCACAGTACGTGATCTGCGGCACTATAAGCTGAATAGCTAACTTTCTTCTTGTATCTAAGGGTGTAAACGACGCTGACATTCTTAATCTACGTAAAACAGCATACACGTTACTTACAACATTATTCACATGGTCAGAACAGCTCAACATAGAATTAACAACAAATCCTAAATTTCTTATCTTGTCAGTCATAATCAGGACGCTATTACCAATAAACAGTTTTGGAATATCTTCCACATGTACTACACGTTTACTAATGGGCAACACATACGACTTTGCAGCATTTAAGCAAAGAAAATTATCGTGGGCCCACTGTGAAATTGCAGACAGGTCACTATTAATTTTAAAACACAAATCTTCAACAAGACCAATTTGACTGGACAAGTACAATTGAATGTCGTCAGCGTAAGCATGGACGTTGACATAGTGGCACACAGAGAATACATCATTCACAAAAAGACTGAACAAAAGAGGGCCAAGGACAGAACCTTGCGGCACACCCGAGCCAACAAGTTTAGATGAAGAGGAGCCAGTCTTACACATTACCTTTTGAGTTCTTCCTGCAAGGTAGCTGATCATAAGTTTAACAGAGCTATCAGAAAAACCAAAGTGGTATTTAAGTTTTTTGCAAAGCAGGTCATGATTCACCAAGTCAAATGCCTTAGAAAAATCCAGAAGGCAAAGAAGAGATAGGTCACCATTGTCAAACTGTATCCGTATATCGTCAACTATTTTCAACATAGCCGTAGAGCAGCTATGGCTTGGTCTAAACCCTGACTGCAATGGCGATAATAAATTATTTTCCTGTACAAATGAGGAAATCTGCCCTGCCATCAACGACTCGCATACTTTTGATAAGGCTGGTAAAATACTTATAGGTCTGTAGTCTCTAGGATAAGTAGCAGTGCTCTTTTTGGCTACAGGAATAATGACAGCCTTTTTCCATTCTGTTGGAAAACATGAAGTTGTGAAACAGTGGTTAATGACATGAGTTAAAGTTCTCAGAAAAAAAGGCAGCACAAGTTTCACAAACTTCAAAGATATCCATCCCATCCTCTCCAATGGCATTAGACTTGATACTCATCACAGATTTCAAGACTTCTGATTCACTTACTCCGTCAAATTGAAACTCTTCTTTTAGAGCAACATTGCTAGTGAAAATTTCAGCTGGAGGACTTTTGCTGTTTCTGCTGACACTGACAAAATAGTCGTTGAGTGTGTTTGGGCCAATTTTACAATCAGACTTAGATTTTCCATGCACATTTAGGTTTTTCAAATTGCGCCATAAATCTTTTGACGATAGTGACGGGTTCAATTTATAACTAAAGTACAACCGCTTTGCATTTCTTGCAGCCTTATATTGTGACCAAGCAACGTCAGAGTTGGTTCTTTTCCATTTTGCATATAATTTATTTCTAGTTTTTATAGCTGAGCTGACTTTATTAGTGTACCAAGGACAGGAGGTATTCATAGCCCTAACAATGCGAACAGGGACATGATCGTCAAATAATTCAGCAAGGGTTTTATTTAAAAAGCCAAGTTTTTCATCTACAGTCTTGTAGAACCAACAGCTATCCCAGTTAACATTTGACAAATCAACGAACAGATCAGTAAGGTTAACAGACTTCAGATCACGATACATAAAAATAACACTATCAGTAGGACAATTCAACGACACATCTAATGCACAAAATATTAGGTCATGGTCAGAGACAAACCCCATTTGGTCAAATTTAAGAATATGGTCAAGATTAGACGTAATAACCAGGTCTAGCAAGCTAGGTTTCGAATTGTTGGCGTATCTTGTTGGTAAGGACTTGTTGACTACAGCAAGACCAGCAGCGGATACGTGGTCAAGTAGTTTAATAGTATACAAGTCGTTTAACAGCAGGTTAACATTAAAATCACCACATATAACATAATATTCATATTCAATTACTCGAGTAAAAATTAAGATATCTTAACGAAACTTGGTACGTGTACTTCTTTCGGGCGTAGGACGGATGGTATTGAAAATGGGCAAAATCGGACAATAACCACGCCTACCTCCCATATAACGGTAATTTTCAGAAATACAAAAACTGCGATATTTTAGTAACTACTGAAGATAATTCACTCAAAATTGATATTTATAATAAATTTTAGACGAAAAATAAGAATATTAACATTTTTTTGAAAATGGGCGTAGCCACGCCCACTTATGGTTACATGTAACCGCTGCATCAATTTATTCCAAACTTGGCACAGTTGTTGGCCCTGGTACAGCATACCAAATGGCAGAAAATGCTTAAAATCGGACAATAATCACGCCCACATCCCATATAACGGTAATTTCGAGAAATACGAAATCCTCGATAAATCAGTAAATATTAAAGCTAATTTATTCAAAATGATGGTTGCAGCAATTCTTTGCCAGGAAATACGTTTATGATAAAATTTTGGAAAATGGGCGTGGGACCGCCCACTTATGATCACATATATGTATCTCGCTAACCGTTCTAGCAATTTGAACCAAACTCGGTATGGTTATTGTGCTTGCCACATAAAAGCAAAGCCTTGAAAATTATTGAAATCGGACTAAAATTACGGCCGCTTTTCATATAACGGTAAATTTCAGAAATGCTTGAAATTTCAATATTTTGAAATTTAAGGACGCTAGTTTACTTAAAATTTATACACGCCGGCTTATCATGTAGCGGTAGCTTTCGGAAAGGTGGAAAAACATATATTTAATACTTGCGCCGGGTATTTAATGTTCGGCTCCGCCCGCACTTAGACTTTCTTACTTGTTTAAGTGTAAAATTTTAGGAAAAAGATTTTTAATACGGGGCATTCCATGCCAACCGAAAATAGACCCAATGCTCGTTTGGAGCGTTAAAATGTATATTTTTAAAGACTGGCGGTTGAATTGGTTCAACTGTTTGAGTAAAATTTACAAAGATTGAAGTAACTGAAAAATTAAACGAACCGATAATTTTGGATGGATTATTTTGAAAATTATAACGGTTTATAACTAAAAATCTGCTTTAAATGAAAAAATCATTTAAAGTCCCAAAAGCGTATATTATTTTGTATATCCATATGTACATATCGATAGTTCTTTGCAATGACGACACAATGCAATTCAAAAAATAAAATCCCTTACTACTGTTAAGTCGTTCAAGTCTCTAATTCTCGTCGAATTTATGTATAATTCTTACTAGTTACTGTAGTAATCCTTACTTCTTACTTTAGTAATGATTAGACAAGGATTAGATACCTGTGGCGCTATTCTCAAACGAGTTAGCGACACACATCGTATCGCTATAGTAACCTCATAGCACACGTCAGCTACTTGCGATACCGGTTTGAATATTGAGTATATAGTAGTAAGGGATTTTATTTTTTGAATTTTTTAGTGTTTCGTTTATGTAGAGGACCATAAATACATATCGTCGCTTAAAGTACAAAACCGCGTGTCGTCGTTCTGCAAAACCGCGTAACTGATATTTGCTGCCAAAAATTGGATTGGCTCACACAAGCTCTTGGCTCAATTATTATCCAATCGTCCTGAAATATACTAGGCGGAAATGCGATTGCTTTATAAAAAAGAAATTTTTGAAATATGAGTGTTTTTACTATCTAGAAAATAATTTATGCAACCACATACGCGGTTTTGCATTATCTTGATATGCGGTTTTGCATTTTGTTGATACGCGGTTTTGTACCTTAAACGACAATATGTACATATTTTCTAGTTAGATGTCATTAATA